ACTAATGGCAGAGCACCTTTGCAGGAGAACTTACGTGAGTATTCTTGGTTCCTGTGTTGTAGGCTTTCATTACATTTGGTAATTTCTTTCCTATACTATATTTTGTAGCCACTCATATGTGTTCCCTGTAGGTCCACGTCATTGTTGACATTTATATATTGACTCTGCTCGAAGAACTTACTACTTTGCAAAACTGACTATTCAAGGATTTATACACTTTTATAAAAAAAGGAATGGAATGATATGATAGGGGTCAGGCTAAAGCAGTGGTTCTCAACCTGAGGTCCCCAGATGTTTTTGGCCTACAACTCCCAGAAATCCTAACAGCTGATAAACTGGCTGAGATTTCTGGGAGTTGTAGGCCAAAAACATCAGGGGACCCCAGGTTGAGAACCACTGGGCTAAAGGCTCATTAAGGCCTGGGAAGACTGAAGAGACCATCCTAAAATTAAAACCTGAAAATGGTATTATGGAGGAGTTGAAGAATGCGATTGACTTTGGCATGAAGAGTGCTGATGGAGAAAACTGCTAAACTGACAATAAATGGCCTGATAACTTTTGGTGTAGACAAAACACATGTTTATATGGTCAGAGACGATGACTCTTTAAGTTAAGGAAGTTAAACAATGACTCCTCGAGGAAGAAAAACAACATCTGTTCTGGAATTGATACAGCTTCAGCAAATCTAAGCTGAATGGCACTTTGTCTAAACAATCAAGAGCAACAACAGCAAATAGTTGTACATAAGGAGACCCTTTTCCTCTTGGAAAGTGTGCCAGACTTGCAGGAATGCAGCATTCGAAACACCCGCCTCCTCCCAAGAAGCCTGATGGACTGAATGAAGAGAGATGGTGAGCATGAATGTTGAATGTATGGATTATGCGTGAACGTTAGAGTATATGTGATGCTTTCCCTTTTTGCCTGTGTAACCAATATAGCTGTTATAAAACCAGTACTGGAGTCTGTTTGTCTACTTCTTTCTCTGAAAGTGCCTGACACCCTGTCCCACTGAAAATGGATTAAAGAACACTTTAAGGCTCAAAATGGATTCCTGACAGTTGGACTGAATGGCTCTTGGGGCCTCGTCCAACTGGGATACTGTTGTTCTAAAAACAAAATGTTCTGTAGCCTGTAAGTAAAAACATAGGTTGCTACTTTCCAACAGAAAGAACCCTTTCATCACCTGCAATGCCTTTTCCTACAAACCTGTACTTCAAGAGGAGTTCCAGCCAAACCTTGAGAAGAACCTCCTGAAAGTAAGCGTAGTTATGACAGAGATAAAAGCAGGATGATGATGATGATGTTATGTGTCCCTCAATCCTTTAGAAGGTGGGCAGGGAGTGGACTGGAGCTTTACATTAATATAGCTGTTTTAATATTGTTTTATTGTGTATTGCTGGTTTTATGAGTTGTTAGAATTGCTTTCTGTTGCTCGATTTATATGTATTTGAGTTTGTATTGTCCTAGTGAAATGGCAGGGAGAAAGTTTGAGGAAAAGAGACAAAAGAGAGTTCCTGGGGTCTGTAAAAGCACGGTTTATTCTCGGTTGGTGCCAAATGGATATGGACCCTTCTGGTAGTCCAGGAAACAGGGTACTGTACAAAAGAATTGCCTTGGTTTATATACCCTTTAAAATAATATGCATGCATCATACAAGCATCACAATGTGCGTCACAAAATTCCACTTTGACATTGACTTCAATAGCATATTTTAACTTCAACACCTTCAATCTTCCATTAAGAACCTCTATCTAAAGAGCAGCTCATTAGAGGAGCCTCCTGTACCCCACAGCGCCAGAATGTCTGCTGATAGCAAGAACTTCCATCCATCTTAAGATAAGACCTTCCTGAAGAAGCCTCTTGATAGCCAGGCTCATTAATCTTATGATAAGCTCTGCTTGGTACGATATGGAAGGCTCTTGATATTTGCCGGAGACATTCCTTTCTTAGACCTCTTTTTGGCCTCTAATTTGCAGCTTTTAAGAAGAAAATATTTTCCCAAGTGAAGTTCATGCATTACATACACATCCCTTTGTGGTTTCATTTATATTTTCTAATTCCTATTTCTAATATGGTTACATCCAATATATTTTCCAATATGTGTGTTATGTATTTTCATCATGCCTTCATCACTAGGTTTGAATGGCATCGGATTGTTGCCAACTGTGAGCCACTTCCAGTACCTCAATGAGGGAGAGAGGGTGGGCTATAAAACATAGTAAATAAAATTAATTAATTAACAGAGGTTTGCAAACAAAAGTTGGGTAGGAGTCTTCCAGGAGCCCTTTGTGAATGCGATGGCTGTGAGTCAGGCTTGGTGACCCAGCTTCATAATCCTGTATGACTGCAGGATTCCTCTTAGCGGCCAGCCTTGGAGTCCAGCGTTTCAGATTTGCTCTGCAAGCAGAAATCAAGATAAACAATCGAGTGAAAGGATGGTCTTTCCAATGCCTCCCTGCAGCCTCTGGAGCAAGAAAACGGGAGAATATTGCAACAGATAGAGTCAAATCCCTCTCTGCAGACTAGGGGCAGAGTCCAGAGAGAATGCACAGCAAGGAGAAGTGAATGAATGAACTAATGCCATGGTGAAGCTGAGTGTGGCACTGGAAAGGTCTCCTTATACTTCTGGGTGGCAACTTCCAGCATTCTCTATTCCCAGCATTCCCTAAGAGCCATGCCCCTTGTAGGAATGCATTTGTTATGATCTTTTTGGCTTACCTGCATGGTGCTGGTCTTGCTGGGGGGTGGTTTACAGAATCGTTGGGCCAGAGCTCCTCTCACCTAAAAGGAAAGCATGTACTGAGCCCTAGGGTCAATGATGAGACATGCGCTGGGCTACTGCCCACCGTCCAGGTTTGCTGGGTCTCTACTTTAAAATAAGGGACACCATGGAGGGTTGCAGGTGTGAACTTCACGGGGCGGGGCTTCTGGGGCCTCAGCCAATAAGGTTGCACCTGGGCAAGTGGGTGGGGGGTTGCACCACATGAAATACAGGATATGAAGAACAAGAAAACAGGACACAGGACATTAGTTTGAAATAAGGGACTGTCCCTTAAAGTATGGGATGCCTGGCAATGCTGCGACCATTGATTTTGGGGAGTTGCAAGTGTCCTATTGAAAGGACTAGAGTTTGGGATGGAAAGTTACCAGCTAAAGCAGAGAGCTCAGACAAGGGGAAAGTTCAAAAGGGAAATGCCTAGTAACAAGCAGGTGCAGAAGGGGGAATCGGCTGCTGAGGAAGAGCAGGCCCGGGAATACTGATAAGAGCTGGTATCAGAAGGGAACAAGGAAAAAAGACAGAGATGAGGCACAAATAGGAGAAAATAGCCAGTGCACTTGCTAAAGGTGTTGAGTATAAAACTGAGCTGCATCTCAATTTTGTGTGGCACTTTCTTTTGTTCACCCGGCAGGGTGATTTGATCAAACTAACCTGTTGAATGATATCCTTGCTTCCAGTGTTTGATTGGATAAAGAGACCCTGAGGTTTTGGGGCCATTTATTTTACATCTTTACTTTTTTAAGGCTGTGCCAAAGATTAGACAGCCTAAATAGCAATAAGGCATGACCATATCTTGGAAGCTAAGCAGGGTCAGCGTTGGTTAGTCCTTGGATAAGAGACACCAATGAGTCCCTGGTGCTGCGAGTGATGTTTCAGAGGAAGGACTGGCAAAACAAGTAAGAATCCATGGGGTCACCTCTGGTCTAAAGAAGGCTCGAAGACACACAGACACACATTAATGGAGGGAGCAAGCTTGTTTTCTGCTTCCTTGGAGACTAGGACGCAATGGAGGAATGTCTTCAAACTACAAGAGAGGAGATTCCATCTGAACATGAGGAAGAACTTCCTGACTGTGAGAGCTGTTCAGCAGTGGAACTCTCTGCCCTGGAGTGTGGTGGAGGCTCCTTCTTTGGAAGCTTTTAAATAGAGGCTGGATGGCCATCTGTCAGGGGTGATTTGAATGCAATATTCCTGCTTCTTGGCGAGGGGTTGGACTAGGTGGCCCATGAGGTCTCTTCCAACTCTAGGATTCTATGAATGCACAGAGGACAAGGAAATGGACCAGGTGAACAGTCTATTGACACATATCTTTGTGTCTCTGGGTGCATGGGATTTCCACCACACATGTTCCATTTCTCTAACCCTCTTTTCTGAGAGATATGTGAAGCCCAAGTAAGAGGGTCCCTAAAGAGGTTATCTATTTATCTAAATATCATGTGGTTGTTTAGATCAATAGATAACTTCGTCATTCAGCTCAGACCTGCTGGATCCTCATCAAGTCCCTGTGCTAACAACGATGCCCTTGTTGCTCCCACAGCGGCTGTGCCTTTGGAAGAGGCATCCCAAGCTCAGACAATCCCAATGGAAAAAGGAACACAACTGAGTCCCATGCGCCGGGAGGTCTGCTTACCTTCCTGTCCATCAGGCAGCCAAAGATCAGAATGAAGACTCCCTAAAAGGCAGGAGAAGAAAATGGCTTTAGCGCAGAATATCCAGTTGTTCGGAACAAAACAATCCAGGAAAGGAAACCCACCTTTCTCCCACTATTGAGTTCGCATCATCTTTTGCATTCCAAGGAGGACAGAGCTACAAATCCTGAAAAGCAGACTTTGGCTTTGCCATTTTGCTGCGCTATTATCTGTAATGGGACTTGAGCATCTTTGGAGTCAGGTAACAAGAATCAAACCCCAGAGGAACCACTGTAATTTTCCTCCTTTCATTCCTCAGCTACTGAAGCTCTATGTTCCAGTCCTATCTTTGCATTAGGATGTACATGGAAAAGGCAATTAGTAAACTTTCCCATTTGCAGCTTGAAGCTACAAATGGAAAGCCAGTCTCTGGCCGGGAATTCCTGACCACTAAGAGATGCTGCCTTTGTGGATTTTGGCCCAGGAAGGCTCTTTCCTAACAGGTCGAGCCTTCTAATTTTGCACAAAAGGGCTGGCTAAGGCTATTCCACTTTCTCTGCTGGAATGCCTTTTCCTACACAATGTCCTGACAGTAAAAGCAGTCTGGCAATGGAATTTGCTCCCTGGAAGTTTTCTGGAGTCTCCTTCCAGTAGAGGCTGGATGACCGTCTATCAGGAGAGCTTAGATTGTGCTTTTCCTGCCTGGCAGAAAGGGTTTGGAGTGGAGTCGATTCCAACTGTCTTTATAAGCAGAGGCTGGACAACCATCTGCCAGGAGGACTTGGATTGTGTCTTCCTGCAGAGCAGAAGGGGTTGGACTGGATGGCCCTTGGGGGTCCTTACCGACTCTAAGATTCTATGATTCTAACAGTGCAATGGACAGGGTTCATTTCCCTCCTGAACCAGAAATTGTTGCCGTTTGTAGCCAAGATGCCCACTGCCTTGTCACAAAAATTTAATACGCAGATTTTATAAATGTGGATTTAATATGATGTGTGGGAATGAATGGAAGAATGGAAGTTGTATGAGTGGAGTTAATAGTTTTGGAAACACCAGTACAATATTAAGGCCTGCAATGACTAACTACCTGCTTGCTGGACTATAATTAAAAGTTGATAATGATAAATGAAAAGTAAACTCTGATAAGAACTGGAACGGTGATAACGGAAATGTTTGCAACATTCCTTATGTTAAGAAGGAAGTCAACACAAGCCTTGTGTTTGTCAACACCAATCAAGAAGATCAACATCTGACCAGGAAACTGAGATGGAGCCAGGATGGAAGGCGTCTATTATTAATTTACAACTCTGGGATGACATCAACAGAATATTCTTATAAAAGACTCAGCCTAATAATGCTCAAATTGTGGCAGACCTGAGGAGTCTGTTCCATCCACCATGCTCTGCTCCATGGGAAGGAGGGAGATGGTGTATTCAGAGAGTGTCAGATATGCTATGAGAAAGCACGATTCTGGATGCTTTGGGGCTTCTTTCTCAAGGGAAGAGGAAGAAGTGCGCTTTTGGAGTTTTGGATTTTGTGCAGGAAGTCAGGAGCTCTCATCACCTTTTAAAGTGGGGTTGCCTCTGAAGACTGCCCGGAAGCTGCAGCTAGTCCAACGCTCGGCAGCCAGACTACTAACAGGTGCTGGGTACAGGGAGCACACCACTCCGCTGTTACGCCAGCTCCACTGGCTGCCAATTAGCTTCCGAGCACAATTCAAAGTGCTGGTTTTGACCTACAAAGCCCTAAACGACTCTGGCCCTGTTTACCTGTCCGAACGGATTCTCCCCTACGAACCATCAAGGTCTTTAAGATCTTCCGGGGGGGCCTGCTCTCGATCCCACCACTGTCACAATCGCGGTTGGTGGGGACGAGAGACAGGGCCTTCTCGATGGTGGCTCCCCGGCTTTGGAACTCCCTCCCACAGGAGATTAGAACTGCTCCCTCCCTCCTGACGTTCAGGAAGCTAACAAAGACTTGGCTATGGAATGCGGCCTTTGACAACTGAGTCAACTTTGGTCCACATGGAAGGAGAATGAATAACTGTGAATTATGACCAGGAATGCTTTGACGACGTGGCTATATAAGTGTGATGATGACGATGTTGTATTGTAATATGTTTTTAATTGTGTAATGAGGATGCATTGTGTGGTTTGTATTTTTGTATATAAACACATGTTGTGAACCGGATCTGAGTCCTTCTTGTAGGTGAGAAGATCGGTATAGACAACTTCTAAATAAATAAATAAATAAATAAGTGACAATATATATATAATGGGAAAGGGCGTTCAACGGGACAGCAAAACGCGAAAACCCCCCGACGAAAACTCACCAAATTTGCCGTGCACATACCTCAACCCACAAGGTATGCACAACACTCATCAAAATTCCAAACAACATTTCAACAAACTCACAATTACAAAAACCAACTGAGCATGCGCAGTGCCCAGGGGAGGAAGTACACACGCAATGCACTCTGGGAACTGTAGTTCTAGAACGCGGCCTACTTTCTGGGGTCCAGGATGCTGCACGAATGGAGAAAGGAAGGAAGGAAAGGAAGGAAGGAAAGGAGGGAGGGAAGTTGAGAAGGTATATGAAAGAAGAAAGGTAGGAAAGAAAGAATACACAGAGAGAAGGAGGATGGGAAAGAAGGGAGAAAGGAAGGAAGGAGGAAAGGAAAGAAAGATAGAAAAAAAGAAGAAAGGAAGGGGAAGGGAAGGTGTCAGAAGGAAGGAAGGAAGGAAGGAAGGAAGGAAGGAAGGAAGGAAGGGGAATTTGGGAAGGGGAAGAGAAGAAAAAAGGCGAAGGAAGAAGAGAAAGGGAGGGAAGAAAAGAAAGAAAGGAAGTGTGGAAGTGAAGAGCGAAGGAAGGAAGGAAAGAGATAGAGAGAAGAAAGGGAGGAGGAAGGAAAGAGGAAGAGAAGGAAGGAGGAGAGAAGGAAAGAAAAAGGGAAGGGAGGAAAGACGGAGCAAAGGAAGAAGAGAAAGAAGGAGAGAAAGAGGGAGGGAAGGAAAGAAATAAAGAGAAGGAAGGATGGGAGCAAAAAGCTAAGGAAGGAAGTAAACAGGTAGAGAAGGAAGAAAGGAAAGAAGAAAAGGAAATGAAGAAAGGAGTGAAAGAAGGAGAGAAAGAGACGGTTGGCCACAGCAACACGTGCCGGGTAAAGCTAGTATATATATATATATATATACACACACACATACATTTTTGGGATACCCTGTAGATAGAAGAGATGTTGTGGCCACCCAGGCTCAACACTTTGCACTTGCGCAAGCGATGCAGAGAGGAATGCCTCCCTGGCACTCACCTGGAAGGCGTTGAGGAGGGTGAAGGCGTAGTGGGTGGCCGGAGAGGCCTGGCCGGTCATGGTGATGACCCCCAGCCCCCAGGTCAGGCCGAAGATGGGCGTCAGGACCAGAAGGGCCTTGAAGAGTCCCACCAACGCCCGCCTTTCCTCCCCGGGAGACGCCTCTGAGACCGAGGGCCGCATCAGCTTCAGCAGCACCACCACGAGCACGCCAGGTTGACCGAAACGATGGCCAGGACCGGGACGGAGAAGGCGTAGAGTGCTTTACTGCGAGCGCTGAGCCAACACAGTCCCTCCTGCAGATAGCGCCGAGATGGGAAGGTGGCAGCCACGGTGGCGGCGGCAATAGCCAGGGGGCAGAGGTAGCCCAGGACCAGCATGGCCGGCACCACAGTGTTCATGCTCAGCCGGTGGAAGACGAAGACCAGCTGGTGGAAGAGCATCAGAGCCTGGACCAGCATCCAGAAGAAGGTGGCCAGGTAGAAGAAGTGGCAGAAGAAGGCGGCCGCCACGCACAGCTGGCTCTCGTGGCTGGCGCTCAGGCGGGAGGCGGCCAGGAAGCAGAGGCTGGCAAGAAGCAAGGAGAAAGCCAGGTTGGCCAGCGTGGTGTAGCGGAAGTAGGAGACCTGCGGGGAAGATGGGGAGGGCTGTTATGAATAACTTCTCAATAACTTTGAAGTGTAGGTTCTTGTTATTGCAATTATGAGGAAGGGTATCAGAACTTTTACACAAACAACAACATTAGGCATACAGGCATATGGATTCTATATAACTACATTGGATCCACACCTTGCCTCCCTCACTGTTGCACTCCAGGACAGGAAAAGCCCTCTGACTTTAAACACCACATCGTTGGATGGAAAACAATCCTTTTATTGAAGATAATTAAAAAGCAATAAGGTAAAAAAACACTTTAAAGAAATTGTTGTGGTTCAGCAACAGCATGATGGGACTGAGAGTGCAAGTGGGCATGATGGGAATGGGGATACAGATGCAGGTGTGGGATTTCAGATTTCTCAGTTTTCTCAGCCACAGTCTGTAGCTAGAGAGAAACCCTTGTTCTCATGGGAACGGAATGTGGCTGATAACACACTCGGTGAAGGTCAGCGTGAGCTGCAGGTGTTAAGGAGAAGTTTACGAATTGCGGCCAAATCTTGAGGCCATCTGCTGGTGGGAAAACTGCTCGTTAGCTGTTCTGTTTAATGTTCAATGTTTTGATGTTTTACCTATAAGAGGTGCTTGGAAGCTGATTCAGTGTCAGTTTCAACTTTGCAATATGGATCGCTGTGCCTCCGGCTCCAGGGCTTGGGCCTTGGGGATTGCCTGCTTTCTGTAACCTCATGCTATTGCCTGGATTTTATCCTGCTTCTTTGCCTCAAGTTTCCTGCTTTGATTCAAGAGAACTTATTGGACCTTTACCTTGTACTATTGAACTTTTTTACTGCTTTTACTTTGTTTTGTTTGAAACCTCAATAAACTTCTTTCTTCTCAAGTTTGGCTGGTTTGTCAGAGAGCAAGGTGAAGCTTAACCTGAGACGCAACAGTAATAGGTAAATCCAATTAAGTGGGAAGATAAGCAGGAACAAAGTAGTCCAGCAAAATCCATAAAAACAAAGGCAAAACTGGGTTGTTGTAGATTTTTTCGGGCTATATGGCCATGTTCTAGAGGCATTCTCTCCTGGCATTTCGCCTGCATCTATGGCAAGCATCCTCAGAGGTAGTGAGGATGCTTCCCATAGATTAGTGGTTCTCAACCCCTTAATACAGTTCCTCATGTTGTGGTGACCCCCAACCCTAAAATTATTTTCATTGCTCCTTCATAGCTGGACTTTTGCTACTGTTATGAATCATCATGTAAATATCTGATCAGCAGGATGTATTTTCATTCACTGGACCTTGGGAGTTGTAGTTGCTGGGATTTATAGTTCACCTACAATCAAAAGAATTCTGAACTCCACCAGAGATGGAATTGAACCAAACTTGGCACACAGATCCCATGACCAACACAAAATAATGAAAGGTTAGGTGAGCATTGGCCTTGAGTTTTGGGAGTTGTAGTTCACTACATCCAGAGCACTGTGGACTCAAACAATGATAGATCTGGACCAAACTTGGCTGATACTCAATATGCCCAAATGTACACTGGTGGAGTTTGGGGAAATAGACCTTGACATTTGGGAGTTGTGGTTGCTAGGATTTATAGTTCACCTACAATCAAAGAGCATTCTGAACCCCACCAATGACAGAATTGGGCCAAACTTCCCATACAGAACCCCCATGACCAACAGAAAATACTGTGTTTTCTGATGGTCTTTGGCGACCCCTCTGACACCCCCTCGCGACCCCCACAGGGGTCCCGACCCCCAGATTGAGAAACACTGCCATAGATGCAGGTGAAATGTCAGGAGAGGATGCCTCTAGAACATGGCCATATAGCCCGAAAAAACCTACAACAACCCAGTGATTCTGGCCATGAAAGCCTTCGACAACACAAAGGCAAAACTTTCCAAATAAAGTGCAAGGAATCAGGAAACATGAACCCAAGGCATCATAAAATCCAAGGATCAAAACCATGAAACAAAGGCACTTTAAACATGAACTTCCCAAGCAAAACTTCCATGAACGAGAATGAGATCTTGACTTGATTCCAAACAGTGCTTCATCTGACTACATATCCTGTACTTGGGACTTTTATCTCTTCCTTAGCTAAGTCTCTAGCATTCTGAAATTGGTTTCGTTTGAACTGAGAATTTCATATCTTTTTCTCTCGGAGCCTGGCAGACCGCCGAAGCCACTGTTCGGCTCTCCTGTTTTGACTGATTTCCTCCCTTCTATCTATTTGCTCATTAATTTCTGCAGCTGGGCCAGGTGCCGAGCTGTTTTCATGTTCCCTATCATGGGAACTCTCTGGTAACAATTCAGAAAGCACACCATCATCCCCACACCCCTCAGGGACATTCTCATGGGAAACTACACTTTGAACAGGGATCTCCTGGTCATTCTCTGCATCAAGATCATGGACCAAACCATTGCCATCTTGAAACTCATTGACCTCAGAGCGCCACCCTGATCCTGGAACACAATCACAGACTGAGCTCCAACACTCACCTTGTTCTTCACCACTGAGGTCCAGACTAGGTAGTAGATGAGGAGGGTAGCCACGAGGGCCATGATGGTGGCGCAGAGGCCGACGGTGCTCAGGATGGTCAAGGCTGCGCTGTTGGGCACGGGGCCGGCGGACATGAGGACCGAGAAGGAGGTCAGGTGGTGGCAGGTGCAGTTGGTGGCCCCTTCGGTGTCTGAGGAGGTCCGGCAGCCCTGCGTGGACCAGGCCCCCACCCCGCCCACCAGGCTGTGGTTCCAGAAAACACACTTGGCCGCCTCTTCCTCCCCACTTTCTTCTCTGTTGGTCGCATTCCAGTGGCCAAACACCATCTCAACCACCACGTCCGTCACACTCCCGTTGGAGGACCTAGAAGCATATAATCATGGGTTATGGAGTTGGAAAGGACCCTCAAATGTCATTCATTCCAACCTCCTTTTGCTATACAGGAAGGCACAATCCAAGCCCTTTTGATAGATGGATAGAAACTCTATATTTCTATAAGTTATGGGAGGGGCTGCAGACCACATGATCTCACCTGAGACCGCTCAGAGCTCAGACTCTATTTTTAGGACACAGATTGCATTCATTCCAACCTCCTTTTGTTATACAGGAAGGCACAATCCAAGCCTTTTGATAGATGGACAGGTAGAAACTCTATGTTTCTATAAGTTATGGGAGGGGCGGCAGACCACATGATCTCATCTGAGACTGCTCAGAGCTCAGACTCTATTTTTAGGACACAGACTGCATTCATTCCAACCTCCTTTTGTTATACAGGAAGGCACAATACAAGGCCTTTTGATAGATGGACTGGTAGAAACTCTATGTTTCTATAAGTTATGGGAGGGGCTGCAGATCACATGATCTCATCTGAGACTGCTCAGAGCTCAGACTCTATTTTTAGGTTACAGACTGCATTCATTCCAACCTCCTTTTGTTATACAGGAATGCACAATCCAAGCCCTTTCGACAGATGGATAGAAATTCTGTTTCTATAAGTTGTGGGAGGGGCTGGCAGACCACATGATCTCATCTGAGACTGCTCAGAGCTCAGACTCTATTTTTAGGACACAGACTGCATTAATTCCAACCTCCTTTTGTTATACAGGAAGGCACACTCCAAGTCCTTTTGATAGATGGACAGATAGAAACTCTATGTTTCTATAAGTTATGAGAGGGGCTGCAGAACACATAATCTCACCTGAAACTGCTCAGTGCTCAGACTCTATTTTTAGGATACAGACTGCATTCATTCCAACTTCCTTTTGTTATACAGGAAGGTACAATACAAGCCTTTTGATAGATGGACAGGTAGAAACTCTATGTTTCTAGAAGCTGTGAGAGGGGCTGCAGACCACATGATCTGATCTGAGACTGCACAGAGCTCAGACTCTATTTTTAAGACACAGACTCCATTCGGCTTTGGGACTGCTCAGCCAACACTTGCCTGCTGTAAGAAAGATGCCCTGTGTTATCTGGTCAGAAAAACCACTTCAAATCCATCTGTAACTGGATTGACAAGTTATGTCCCTGCATGCTGAACACATGAAGGTTGTGAGTAAAGCAGATATGTTACTTTATTTTTGTATCTTCAGAGCATCATATGGAAACAAGATGCTTTATGGGAGAGGTGATGTTTTTGGGCACTGAAAAGAACACTTCTGAAGAACGGCTAAATTTTGTGCATTGGCATAATCTCTGTTCCTAACAGATCAGAGACATCTAGATTATCAGTCTGATAACTGAGAACCCACATTGTCTTGCATAAGTACATGTGGATATATCTACCAGAGTGGGGTTGGCAGAGTGGGTAAAGGTGGTGGTTAATGCTGAAGGCGCAGGTTCACAGCTTGGGAGTGATCTTGTCTGCTGGAGCTAGGTGTGAATGTTTCAACTGATCACCTTGATTAGCATTTGATTGCCTGGCAGTGCCTGGAGCAATCTTTTGTTGAGAGGTGATTAGATGTCCTTGTTTGTTTTCTCTCTGTTTCCTGGCTACCAGTATTAAAAAAAACTCTAAAATTAGAACAGCACAACAACAGAGAGGAAACAAACAAGGACATCTAATTTCCTCTCAACAAAAGATTGCTCCAGGCACTGCCAGGCAATCAAACGCTAATCAAGGTGATCAGTTGAAACATTCACACCTAGCTTCAGCAGACAAGAGCCCTTTGTCCCACCCTGGTCATTCCACAGATATATAAACCCTTTTTCCTAGTTCCAACAGACCTCACTACCTCTGAGGATGCTTGCCATAGGTGCAGGTGAAACATCAGGAGAGCATGCCTTTAGAACATGGCCATATAGCCCGAAAAAAACTACAACAACCCAGACGTTAAGATCTTTGGGTGCGGCCCTGCTCTCAGTCCCGCCACTTTTGCAATCACGTCTGGTGGGAACGAGAGACAGGGCCTTTTTGGTAGTGGCCCCTCGGCTATGGAACTCTCTCCCGAGTGAGATCAGATCTGCCCCCTCCCTCCTGACCTTCAGGAGGCTAGTGAAAACCTGGCTATGGAACGAAGCATTCCTGGATTAATGGCTGAGACTGGTTATAGACCAAAGTTAGCGACCACATATGCGGACTGAGTTGGACGTGATGTTATCTTGGCAATTTGGCTGTATGTATTTATTCTATATATATTTTAATCTTTTATTGTTGTATGATTTTTTTATTCTGTATTATTAGGATTGAATCCTTGCTGTCAGTCAGTCCGAGTCCCTCTACGGAGGTGGAGAAGATCGGGATATAAATGTTTTAAATAAATAAATAAATAAACCGAAGAAAAGATTTTACTCAAACGAGTTTTAGGGTCATCTTTGGAAGATCATATTTCATGATTTTCAAATGACTGTGAATGCCATTATTATCCAAAAGGTTATGGAGATTCTGGTTTTCCAAAAAAGTACTTATGACAATACCAGATATTTATGATTATTGACTGTCTGGTGAAAAAGGAAAACAGGATCTGGGTCATTTCAACATGAAGAATAATGTAACTGTTATTATATATATAGATATGAGAGATGAGAAGTCATGAGATGGGAGCACCTGCCAGCCCTGCCTCACCTGATGGCATTGGACATGACCAGGCTGGCCAGGTGGCTATGGGGCAGGACCCCCTCCATGCGCTTCAGGGCCAAGGCGGTGATGGTGAGGTTGCCCTCTCGGCGCAGCAGCTCCTCCAGCTCCTCCTCCGCGATGCGCACCGAGGCCGGAGGGTCCGTGTTGAAGGTCTTCAAGAACCCCTCATCCTCCTGGTCGGGGCTCAGGCGGAAGCTCAGGAGCTCCAGGTTGGGGAGCGTCAGGTTGAAGCCCTGCTCTGGGGGCAGCAGGAGGCCGGTCAGGTTCTCCAAGGCTTGCAGAAACCCCGACGCGGCTCTAGAGTCCAAGGCCTCTGCCGGCGACCAAGCCGTCTCCGGGTCCAAGCTGAGCATCTTGTTGGCGGCACTCAGGAAGGCCTGGGAAGGAAGAAAATGTTGATGCTCAATGCCTTAATTCAAGCGTGGGCAAACTTCAGCCCTTCAGGTGTTTTGGACTCCAATTCCCACAACAGTCGGTAGTTGAAGTCCAAAACACCTGGAAGGCTGCTGTTCTGGTACGGCTGTACCAGGAGCTCCAATTTTATTTGCTTTGTATTGTTGGGGTTCAGTCTGATCCTGATCTGTGTGAACCGGATTCTCTGATAGTTTTTCCAACTGAGCAAGCTCTCCCTGACAGTGTGGAATCTGTTGTTGATGCAGAGGTCAGCGGGGATGAAAATGAAACTCAACAGCTGGAGGAAAATGTTTTGGAAGTTAGCCGTGATATCACTAGCCGTGATATCTCTCCACCTGGGGTTTTTAATGAGGACCGAAGAGAACAGATAGTTAGAGACAGAAATGTTTCCCAATTTCTACGAAGGTCACATCATTTACAGGAGAGACAGGCCCAGACGTCAAAGTCAAGGGGCGTTTCAAAGAATAGCTTCTTTGGTTTAAGAGGCCTCCTGCCGGGTGCCTCTTTAGATCAAGCAACGTTTGGGACTGTGGCTGTGCCTTGGCAGAATTCCTGTGTTCCATGGCCGGTAATCCCAGAGGCTTCTAGTTTTCAAGTTCATGGTTAGTGAAAGGCTAACAGGTTCCTGGTTCTTGTATTGTGGCTTTTGGAATTTTGCTCAAGTTCAGAGATTCTACTGACTGCTGTGTTTTTCTGTGGCTTTTTGACTTTGCATTTACCTTTCTTTTGTAACCAATTTTTCATCAATAAACAAGGACTAGAGAGAGAGGAGGAGATATTTAAGTTTTATTCTGGAGAAGAACTAAAGGGTGTGTGTGTGTGTGTGCCTGGATCAAGCCAGGTAAGTACTGTTAGGGAAAACGACCTTAAAATATACAGCAGAGCACCCAAAAACAAACAGGATACAAAAGTTGAGCATTCAGAAGAGAAACAGAATGTAATAGGAGTGTAGATATTAGCCTCCTGTTTCCTCCAATGTAGACATAATTGAATTAGTATCATCTGAACTTCATCCTTCATGCAGAGTTCAATCTTTAAAAAGTCACAAAAAGTTTATTTGTAATAAGAAATTCAATGTGCAGATTTGATAAATGTGAATTTAATATATGTGAGGCAAAGAATGGAAGAATGGATGAATAGATGTAGCTAATAATTTTGGAAATATCAGTAAAAGACCGAGGCCTGGACTGACTAACTACCTGCTTGCTGGACTGTAATTAAAAGTTGCTAATGACAGCTGAAAAGGTAAACTCCTGGAGAGCCTATTCTAAGGTTTCAAAGAGAGGGGGAAAACACCGATCACTACGTCTCTCCTGACACACAAGCAGAGAGAGATCTCAAAGCACATAGCACATACTCTGCATACTAAAGTTAGTTTCAAAAAGCTTGCAGTGGAAAAGTATCCGTTTTAAACAACCAATCTGAATGAGAGCAGAAACAGAGAGGAGAGAAGAAAGAGATATGGGTCGGAGTGAGCTTCCGGCCATTTGTCTAGCTTGCTGTCGACCTTAGCAGCCTGAACGACAGTCGCACCTGTCAAGTAGGAAATTTAGGTACCTTTGCCAAGATGCCTCTTCCTGTTGAAAACAAGATCTATATATTAGGGCTGTCCAAACACGGAAAATTTTGTTTCTAAACTCGATTCGTTTTTAGGGGTTTTTTGCGTTTTGTTATTTAAAAGAATTCCGAAATTTTCCTTTAAAAAAGTTCGATATTTACGAAATTTCGGAAATCATAAAACAATTACGAATCGATTATGAATCGATTCGTTAATGGCGGCCGCGATCGCGCAATACGCTAAAAAAACTTCAGAAGCTTCCCTCTCCCTCTGTTGTTGACTGTTGGTGTGATAATTATATTTTTTTTCACTGAGAAAACAAACAGCAACCCTAAAACTTGCACCAGACATGCGGAAATAATAACGAAACATTTACGAATCAATAACGAACCATTTACGAAACGAATTGAAAAATTCATTTCATTTTTTAGATGCTCCTGAATGGTTCAATATCGCTTCGTTATAAAAAAAAATAACGAATTTTAACGAATTACAAAATTACGAAACGAAACCGCCCTGCCATAAAAATGCTCCAGCATGCAAAAGAATGAGGAAGTACTCCATCGGTGTCACAAGTGGATGGTGAAGCGACAGCTCCCCCAGTGGCCGGAATTCAAAAAGCATACCCTCATGAAGCTGGAAAGTTAAATAGCCTCTGTGTCTGTCTGTCTATATATGTTGTGTGTCTATGGCATTGAATGTTTGCCATGTATATGTGCATTGTGATCCACCCTGAGTCCCCTGCGGGGTGAGAAGGGCAATATAAATACTGTAAATAAATAGATAGATACATTCCCAACTGTCATGCAGGAGACATGGGGAAGGGAAACCTTCAGACTATTCTAATGGTAACTAACTTGTTCCTCATTGAGGACTTGAGACTTGGGCAATGTGGGGATCTATAGTTATAGAAGATGGGGCAATGCTGACAGGGGATGGGAAAAGGCAGAACTACTTAATGCCTTCTTTGCCTCGGTCTTCTCACAAAAAGAGAGTCTTCAACCTCAGCAAGATGGAGTGGATGAGGGATTGGAGGACATCCAACCCCAAATTGGGAAAGAAGTCGTCCAGGAATACCTGGCCGCTCTTAATGAGTCCAAGTCCCCTTTCAGGGCCAGATCAACTACACCCCAGAGTATTGAAGGAACTAGCGGAAGTCATTTCGGAACCATTGGCAACCATCTTTGAGAGTTCTTGGAGAACGGGAGAAGTTCCAGCAGATTGGAGGAGGGCCAATGTGGTCCCAATCTTCAAGAAGGGAAAAAAGGATGACCCAAACAACTACCGTCCGGTCAGCCTCACGTCGATACCGGGCAAGATTCTGGAAAAGATTGTTAAGGAAGCGGTCTGCAAACACTTAGAAACAAATGCAGTCATTGCTAATAGTCAACATGGATTTATCAAAAACAAGTCATGCCAGACTAATCTGATCTCTTTTTCGATAGAGTTACAAGCTGGGTAGATGCGGGGAATGCCGTGGATGTAGCGTACCTGGATTTCAGTAAGGCCTTCTTTGACAAGGTCCCCCATGACCTTCTGGCAAGGAAACTAGTCCAATGTGGGCTAGGCAAAACTACGGTGAGGTGGATCTGTAATTGGTTAAATGGACGAACCCAGAGGGTGCTCACGAATGCTTCCTCTTCATCTTGGAAAGAAGTGACAAGTGGAGTGCCAGCAGGGTTCCGTCCTGGGCCCGGTCCTGTTCAACATCTTTATTAATGACTTAGATGAAGGGCTAGAAGGCAGGATCATCAAGTTTGCAGACGACACCAAATGGGGAGGGAGAGCCAAGACTCCAGAGGACAGGAGCAGGATTCAAAACGATCTTGACAGATTAGAGAGATGGGCCAAAACTAACAAAATGAAGTTCAACAGTGACAAATGCAAGATACTCCACTTTGGCAGAAAAAATGAAATGCAAAGATACAGAATGGGACAATGCCTGGCTCGAGAGCAGTACGTGTGAAAAAGATATTGGAGTCCTCGTGGACAACAAGTTAAACATGAGCCAACAATGTGATGTGGCGGCAAAAAAAGCCAATGGGATTTTGGCCTGCATCAATAGGAGCATAGTGTCTAGATCTAAGGAAGTAATGCTCCCCTCTATTCTGCTTTGGTTAGACCACACCTGGAATATTGTGTCCAATTCTGGGCACCACAATTCAAGAGAGATATTGACAAGCTGGAATGTGTCCAGAGGAGGGCGACTAAAATGATCAAGGGTCTGGAGAACAAGCCCTATGAGGAGCGGCTTAGGGAACTGGGCATGTTTCGCCTGAAGAAGAGAAGGCTGAGAGGAGATATGATAGCCATGTATAAATATGTGAGAGGAAGCCACAGGGAGGAGGAGGGAGCAAGCTTGTTTTCTGCTTCCATGGAGACTAGGACGCGGAACAATGGCTTCAAACTACAAGAGAGGAGATTCCATCTGAACATGAGGAAGAACTTCCTGACTGTGAGAGCCGTTCAGCAGTGGAACTCTCTGCCCCGGAGTGTGGTGGAGGCTCCTTCTTTAGAAGCTTTTAAGCAGAGCTGGATGGCCATCTGTCAGGGGTGATTTGAATGCAATATTCCTGCTTCTTGGCAGGGGGTTGGACTGGATGGCCCATGAGGTCTCTTCCAACTCTTTGATTCTATGATTCTTAGTGAAAGAAACATGGACATGACATTTTTTCCCCAGGGGATTGCTTCTTGCCTTCCTTTAGAGAACTGGAATTCTCAAGGATCAAGACACTATAGATAACTCGAAATAGCCTTTATTGTTCACAAGGAGTTATCTTTCTGAGGCATTAAACTTGATGTTCCAAAAAGGGTGAAGAAAATATACATTACAGTCTCTGGTGGTCTTGGGTCCAAGGAATTTTCCAGCTGAGTAGCTTCCAAGTTCCCTCTTTCTCAATGGCTATGAGGTCAAAACACTCACAAGCCCAGTCCAATAGCCTATATTGAAGACACAAAGTCTTCCTCTTGATGCCAAAGGACTGGTTTGAAGGAGCTTAAGATTCCTCAACGTCGTCCAGGGTATAAACTTAAGTTTATACAAGTACCACACAGAGAAAAGAAATGGCAGCAACTTTTACAAATAGTTTTAACAATTTGCCACACTCACATTCTACCTCTCCTTCCTCCTCCTTCAGCTCCTCATTCCTTCAGGCAAGCTAAGTCCTTCTCTCTCAAGGACTTCAGTTTGGTGCTGACCTAGCAAGCTGCCTCATCTGATTTGAGCACCTCCCTTGGGAACTCACCGCCACCGCATTGCTCTCCAGGCGGATGTGGGCATCCAGTGCCACGTGCGAGAGGGCGTCCATGATGGCAATGGTGGTGAGCAGGTCCTGTGGAGAAGAGTCCAGGTCTCCGACGGCCGCCCCGTCCAGCCAGGACAGCATTGTGGGGAGCGCCGTCTGGGGGTCTCCCAGCCCCGCCTGGAGTAGCTGTGCACAAAGGGGGAGCAATGAGTGGCCGTTAGCAGAGAGGGAAAGGGGGCTAGTCTCTCTCATTCTACTCAGTAGAAGGGCTGCTTCTACATTTGCTTAGGAGTGCCGTTTGGTTGATGCACAGCACCCCAATATCTCTAGTTCAGACATGGGCAAACTTCGGCCTACCAGGTGTTTAGGACTTCGACAGTCAGAATTCCTAACAGCTCCTCGAGAAGTTACAGGGTGGGGCTGGTGTTTGTGTGTGTGGGGGGGTACCTTTTGGGGAATTTTTTCAATGGGGATGTTATTTCTAAAAAGAAAAGAAATCCCTAAAAATCGGGGGATGACCCAAACGTTATGAAATTTGGCGGACTAACAGTGGTTGATGTGTCCTCCAAGTGTGGTCATTTTCATCTTGATAACTCTAAAAATAAAAAGAAAGGGGAGCCCGAGGAGACCAACCCCCCCCCCCCAATTGCTGCAAATCTAGCTGCATTTTTAGCTGTGGATAAAAAATGGCTATCTGCCCGTTTTTGGGAGGCACCTGAAAATGGATCCGGGAGTCACCCGAAATTCAGCCAGCAGAAATGGATCGAGGTTCAGCTGAAATGCACAAACCTACACTAAACATTATGTTCACCAGCAAAAAAGATCGTGCCATTACCACTCAAGCAGGGAGCTTTGAGATGGTTGAACAGAAGCTCTCCGAAGCTGTAGGTGCCCTTACTGCCTATTACAGGGAAAACCAGCTGATCCCTAATCCATGTAAAACACAGACATGTGCCTTTCGTCTCAAGAACAGAGAAGCATCCCGAGCTCTGAGGATTATTACCTGGGAAGGAAGGAATCCCACTGGAGCCTTGCAGCGCACCCAAATACCTGGGAGTCACTTTGGACCGTGCTCTGACCTACAAGAAGCACTGCCTGAACATCAAGCAAAAAGTGGGTGCTAGAAACAACATCATACGAAAGCTGACTGGCACAACCTGGGGATCACAACCAGACACAGTGAAGACATCTGCCCTTGTGCTGTGCTACTCTGCTGCTGAGTATGCATGCCCAGTGTGGAACACATCTCACCACACTAAAACAGTGGATGTGGCTCTTAATGAGACATGCCGCATTTTCACGGGGTGTCTGCACCCTACACCACTGGAGAAATTACACTGCTTAGCCGGTATTGCACCACCTGACATCCGCCGGGAAGTAGCAGTCAATAGTGAAAGGACCAAGGCAGTGACATCTCCAGCTCATCCCTTGTTTGGGTATCAGCCAGCACGTCAATGACTTAAATCAAGAAATAGTTTTCTAAGATCTACAGAGACACTCGCTGGAACACCTCAGCAAGCGAGAGTCCAAAAGTGGCAGGCTCAAACCCAGAACCTCAACCAATGGCTGATACCAAATGAGAGACTCCCCCCTGGGCACACAGAAGACTGGGCGACTTGGAAGGCGCTGAACAGACTGCGCTCTGGCACCACAAGATGCAGAGCCAATCTTAAGAAATGGGGCTACAGGGTGGAATCCTCAGCATGCGAGTGTGGAGAAGAGCAAACCACTGACCACCTGCTGCAATGCACCCTGAGCCCTGCCACATGCACAAGGGAGGACCTTCTTGCGGCAACCCCAGAGGCACTCCAAGTGGCCAGATACTGGTCAAAGGACATTTAACCAAATACCAAATTTGCAAAATCTGTGTGTTTTTTTCCTTTTTCTTTTTAATCTGTGTGTTTGCTTTGCTCTGTTAGAATTGTAATACAATGGTATGGTTGCTGATGACACAACAACCATACCATTGGGGTGGGGGGGTTGAAAATGGAGATGTGCATTAGATTCTATGGCGCACGAGACTCGAGTCAATATGTATATTGTCACAAGTAACTTTGGCACCAGATTGCCACATCTCCCCCCATGAGGACTTCTGGCCATCTTCAACCCTATGGCAACTGGGCTGAGACGAATGCAAGCGGGACCTCATCGGAGCCCCCTTCCTTTGGAGTCCTCTTTCCTGCTCCCCTTCCTCCCATTGGGATAAGTTCAGAGGCCCCCCTCCTCACCCAGAAGAAGGTCCCCCATTCAAACCCAGTGTCCCATCTGCTCCCCCCAAAGCACAGACCTGGGCCTGGTGCAGATCCGAGAGCAGCTTCTGGCTGGTGCATCCACCCTTTATGGGTCCCCAGATGCCTCCGTCGGAGCAGTTGCGCAGGAGCTTGCCTTCCTTGCCTTCTGGACACAGGAGCTCTGCCGTCCGTCCGGCTTTGGTGGCCCCCCAACTGCCCCCTGCCTCCTCCACGGGGCAGAAGAGGTCTCCGACTATGACAGGAAGGAAGAAAGGAAGGAAGGACTCTGGTCCAGCCTTTATGTATCCGGAGCATGAATGGGTGCCCCATCATCAAGCATGTATGTCTTCTTGTGAAAGACACCCACTTGCAGCCTGTCCTGCCCATGGGCACCCATAGGATTTCCAGTGTGGAGGAGGGTGCAGGAGGGAGAATTGGCTGCTGAGGAAAAGCAGGCACCGCTAAGAGCTGGCACTGAGAGGGAGATAAAGGAAGGAGGGCAGACAGGCTGGAGGGGGTATTTCCTTATGCTTAAGAGCCCTGGAAGGGACTTAGAAGCTGCTTGTGGTGGGGGGTTCTCAATGCAAAGGAAGAGATAAAGATAATGCACAAATTGGAGAGAAAAGCCGGTGCGCCTGCTCAAAGTATGCTCAAGGTATTGACTATAAAACTAAGCTGTGTCTCAGTTTTGGTTTGGCACTTTTGTCTTTGTTCACCCAGCAGGGTGATTTGGTCAAATAAACCTGTTGAACAATCTCCTTGTTTCCAGTGTCTGATTGGCTATAGAGACTCTGGAGGTTTTTTGGGCCATAAAGAAAAGAGGGACGTGGTAGAACAACCCAACACTTTGGCAAAGGGGTGGGGAGGGGAGATGGGCTGGAAGGGGCCTTTCCTTACGCTTAAGGCCCCTGGAAGGGACTCAGAAGCTGCTTGGGGGGGCTTAATGCAAGCACAAGACCCTCATGTTCTAATGCATTGGAACTCCCCCCCTCCCCAAATGCTGCTGAAGAGACATTGGTTGGAGTAATTGAAATCTGTGATATTTGCTTAATGATAACTGCTTAACAATAATGTGTATTGACCACTGCTTTGCACCTTGTCAAAGTTAATGTGCTGTTGAGCTATGGCTTCAAAGCAGAATGATGTAGTTGGGGAGTGTGGTGGATGACTCAGAAAGGCAATAAATCTTCTCACACATGAGTGGGAGATGGGAATTGCACTGCTCCTTGTGGATTCTGGATTTCATTGTTTATTGCTGCATGGCAATGCAACTACCCCTGGATACCAGGGTTGAATGAAAAGTAATGCCTCCACCTTCGTTACTTGGGTTTGGATGGGAATATTTTAATAAATCAAGCGGAGAAATAATCCTTAGAATGTGCTCTTTAACGACCACTATTCACTTTCCCACATAATCACCAGACAATTGGATACTTTTCTGCCAATGATGAACACGTTTTTTGAAGCCATCACGGAAGAAGTCAACACTCTGTTTCCGCAACCAGCGTCTCACAGTTCTCTCACCGTCTTCATCAGAAGCATAATGATCTCCGCAGATCTTCTTTCGTTATCGGGAACAGATGGAAGTCAGACGGTGCTAAATCTGGACTGCATGGAGGATGCTGTACGGTGGTGAGATCCAGTCTCTGAAGTTTCAAGTCTGTGCGCTTTCATTTCAGGCATCAGTATCCTGGGTACCCATCGTGCACAGATCTTCCGATAGCCAAGCCATGTGACCCACCCATTCTTGTGAAATGCCAATTATGCTTGAAATTTCTCTCTGAGGGATACGATGATTGTCCTGAATCAATCTGACAACCTTTTGCTTGTGAAACTTGGTGGTTGTTGTCACAGGACATCCAACTCTTTGTTTGACATACAAGTCAGATGCTCCCACCTCAACATCTTTAAACTTACTCACCCAACAATGCACAGTACTCACATCAACACAATCACCACAAACAGCTTCCATTCTCTGACGAATCTCCTTTGGGGTTAAGAATTGTCAAGAATTCAATGACAGAGCACCTGAGGAACCAGCCTGGACACAGCATATTATTATTTGAGAACACAGAAATGCTGGACCACTCTCACAACCACCATGCCAGGCTACACAGAGAAGCC